AATTATGATTGAGGAATTGCATTTGGGGGGGGGGGGGGCGTACAAGAAACCAACAGGGCTAGTCATTGCTTTCGGGAGGATGTACATATTCCATCTGCTGTTCCAAGCCAAACAAAATACCCATATGAACCACATGACGCCCTGTTAAACAAGAATTTCCCCTGAAATGTGACGACCCGTAGCTATACATACGTATTCAAGACGCGGCCTGAGGCTGCGGACGCTCATCCAGCGACATACGCTCGAGTTGCTCAGCCGTCTTGGCCGCTGCCTCGCTCTCCGCCTCCGTCTCCGGCACAGAACCGGCCTCCTCGAGGCGCTTCCTCGTGGCTTCGGCCTCCTTGGCCTGTTGAGCGTCCCTCTCGGCCTGCTTCTCCGCTTCGACCCTGTCCTCCTCAGCCTTCTCCAGCGCGCGGAGCTCGTCGTCAATCTCGCCGTCGTCGATGACCTCGACCTCGCCAGCGCTCGCAAGTATCCTGCCGACCTCGTCCGTGTCGGCCATCTGCTCCCGCAGCGCGTCGACGACACCCTCGACGCGCTCAACGCCGCCAACCTCGGCATTCAGCTGCTTCAGCACGCCGGCGCTGCCCTCCATGACCTTGACGAACTGGACCTGGTCCCGCGCCTGCTGTATCCTCGCGGCAATCTCCTCCATCTGCAGCAGCGCCGCGCCGCGCTTGCCCAGCGTCGCCTCGGCCGTCTTCTTCTCGCGCAGCAGCCGCATGGCGGCGGCGTTGTTCCTCTTGCCGACAGCCGCCTTGGCGTCGGCCGCCAGCGTGTCGACGCGCGCCGCCAACAGCGTCGTCTGGTGCTTGAGGTCCTCGACGAGCTCCTTGAGCTGCGCGACGGCGGCGTCCTCCTCCGTGACGGCGGCGTCCTCGCCCTCGACGCGGATGCGCACCGTCTGGCCGTCGCTCGCCACGAGGCCCTTGTCCCGGGCGAGGAAGCGCAGCAGCACGTCGACGTCGCGCCCCGCGAGCGCCCTGTCCTTCTGCCCCGCGACGGCCAGGTCGGCTACGCACGCCCGCTCGAAGTGGCGCCGCGTAAACGTCCGCTCGAAGCGCGTGTCGCTCGCCCGCGCGGCCGCCTGTTCGGCCACGAGACCCCCCGCCTTTTCGAGGTTCGGCAGCACGACGTACGTGCCCTTGGGCATCTTGTCCTCGGCCGTCGACGTGCCGCCGCCGCTGCCGAACCCCAGCTGCCGTGCGGCCCAGGAGGCGACGCTCCAGGGCACGGCGCCCCAGCCGGCCGTCTTGGCGTAGATGGTCTCTTTTCGCGCGAGAAAGTCGGGCACGGGCACGAGGTCGCCTTTTTCGAGGGCCTCGCGGACCACGGTGCCGAGGGCCAGCGGGCGGCCGAACTGGCGGCTCTGGAGATGGGCGGGGAGCGAGTCGTCGACGGTTAGGAGGAGGCGCGGCGGGGTGGTAGAGGTGGCGGGGTCGGGGAGCTGGGCGTCCCAGGCGAGGCGGGCGAGGGCGGCGCGCCAGGCCGAGAGGTTGGCGGTGTAGCCGTCTGGGTTGAGGGTGCGCTGGGAGCGAAAGTCGGAGTAGAGGGCTGGAAGACGGGCTTTTCGGAAGGAGGGGTCGTTTGACGTGAGGTACTCGGCGAGGTCACCCATGGCGGGCATGTAGTCTTGATGATGGCAACGATTGTTGGCTGAGGTAGAGAAGGAGGATCAAAGCTCAAGGCTCAAGGCTCAAGGTCCAAGGTCGAAAATGTGTTGTTTGTTTTGTTTGGTGATGACGTCAGGAATGTCTGGTCAGTCCTTGAAATGGCTGACTTGGAGGGCAACAGACATACGATGTCGTTTTCGAGGACAAAGGACAAAAGCTGTTCAACATAGAGGCAAGGCCATGCCCTGACTGTAGTTGTAGGTCGCGAAGTTGGGTGTGGTGGGGGTGGCAGTTGAAAGACGCAGTGACGGTGCCCTGTGCCTGCCTACCATCTACCATCTACCTAGGTAGGTAGGTGCCTGCCATCTAGGTAGGTAAGTGCCTGCCACCGCACATGTGATGGCGCCTACAGTAGCCTCGTGCTCGCTTATCTGCCTTGTGCGGGCCGATGGCAGCCTCGTCTGATGACAAGCACGGACTCACCTTGATCGCCATGAGGCACATCGACAGCCTCTGCCTGGGGCAGCCATGTTCCTATGCACACTCACATGCTCTGACATGTATGCCTACTCTAGACAATGCTGGCTAAGGTACAATGCTGGCTAAGGCAAGGTACCTAGGTATAGTACATTCCCACCAATGGACCTCTAGAACAAGTACCACCCTGGACGAGACATCTCCTCGGACTATATGATAGCGCTAATCTCATGTTACACAGCCTTCCTAATCCATCAAGTCATCGCCGCTTTCCTATGGCCATGTGAAACAGTGTCGTTGACCGTTGTCAACGCTTCGTATATACACTTTCACGTCTCGCTCCGTGGTCCATCGCCTCACCGACAGCCTCCACAAACCGGTTCGCCGTGTCGAACCCCTCAAAGGGCTCCCCCTCTCTGTTTGTCCCCAATTCAGAAGGATGTAATGTGTGCGGTGTGATGATGGCATGTACGTAGCCCTTTTGGGGCGCCAGATAAAACTCCTTCGACACTTGGGGCGAAAACTCTTTGCAGTACACAGTCATCGCGTTGTGGTTCAGAAGAATGTCCTCAGCCCCGACTGTTGCCATTTCCTTCTTCAACTTACGGGCCCTCTGGGCGCACGCAAAGGCCCATTCGGTAAACGTATCCCGTCCGACGTACTTGATCAGCATCCAACATTCGAGGATGGCCCTCGCGTTCCTCGACCCGATCTGCGTCTTGTGGACCGACTGGATGTACTCGACATTGACGGCGACGGCCTCACTGTGCTCTCTGCGCATCAGGATCATGCCCCCCGTGTCCAGCGTGCCGATGAACTTGTGCGTCGACACGTTGAGGGTGTCGATGCCGAACCCGTCGACGTCAAGCCCAAAGCTCGGAACGATATCAGCGTCATCGGCATCACTCATCAGCGCGAGAGGCACTGCGCTGAACGCGCCATCGACGTGGAAGAAGAAGTCGCTGCGCGGCCGCCCCGAGTCCCGGGCGAGCTCGAGGATCTGCCGGATATTATCGCGCCCCTCCTTGACGGTCCCTCCGCAGAGGATGCCCATCCATATCGGGCGGTCGTCATGCTTCTCAAACGCCTCCCGGAGCGCCGCCATGTCGATCGAGCCGTCGTCCTTCTCGTCAATCGTCTGCGCGCGCAGCCCGTTCTGCAGCACGGCCGTGTCAAACGAGTAGTGGGCCGCCTTGCTGAAGAGCATGACCGGATCCCGGCCGCCGGCCTTGCGCAGCACCGCCTTGCCCACCGTCGCCGCCCAGATGTTCCCGCTGCTGCCGCTGGCGTCGATGTAGCCCCAGTACCTGTCCTCGCCGCCGGCGCAGTGGAAGAGCTCCATGAAGAACAGCATGACTTCGAACTCGTAGCAGAAGGCCTCGGGCGCGAAACGCCCTCCCTCGGCCCAGTTGCCGACGTTGTGCACTCCGTAGTCGCCGGCTGTCTTCATGAGCTCCTGGATCTTGGGGTGTCTGATCCAGTTGCGCGGATACCCGACGGCTTTTCGTACCGTCTTGTCCCATTGTCCGATGGTCTCTGCAAAGACGTCTTCGAGCTCGCCCTTGTCGGCTGGCTTGGAAAAGTCGATGCCACATGAGAAAGTCATGGTCCGGCGGTTCCCGAGTGTTTTCGGAAAGGATAAGAGTTCGATTCAAGACCATGTATTGTATGCGCAGTGATGGCTGTGTTGTAGGGTCGTTGGCTCTCTGTCGAGTATTTCCCGAGTAGAGAATCTAGTGAAAAGGCGACGGTGGTAGGATCGAGGGCACAACAGCAGGGACATCGTTATGTATAATCGAAGGTGGAAGGCCGGTAACGAACAGGGCACACCGACTGCTTGCGGTGTGGCTAGAGAATATCTAGATGATATCACGAGTAGCCTCCGTGGCTCAAAAGCCAGCCGCTTCCATCTCCTCTTGGATTGTACGGTTCGGAGCTGGCAACTTGGCTAAGGCCATGGACTCATGACGCAAAGAGAACCAAGGGAACGAGACACCGAAGGCAGCCGCAACAGCAATGTTCGCCACGGTACGCATACCAGAGCCGTGGCGAAAGGCTCTGAAGCCAGATCTTTCGAGCTTCAAGAGGTATAGATTTCCTGTTCCAGACTACGTCCAGCAACCCTCCCCACGATGACAAGCAGATGAGATTTTAGGTTCTCTCGTCGTCCCAGATCTCGGTCCGAACGACTACGTGACCGAGGTAATGCCGCAAGTCTCCGTCACGTCGTCACTTCAAGCGAAGGGCGTCGTCCATCACCAGTGTTTCGAGATTCACGGAGCTCATGTGAATGGCGAAAAAATGCCGGAGTCACTGCCAACACATTCATCAATACAGTTCGGACCGGCACCCGGCCTAGAACTCCACAGTTTTGTATCTGGCACGTGAGGAATCGTGTAGGGATCGAATGTCTTGGTTGAAACCACGGGCGTCGAGACTTTGGTAGTCGGGAATCTGAACTGTCTCTTGGGATCCGGCTGCGCTAGCTCTCAAGCATCATGATAGGGGTGAGACGATTTAGACAGGTAATGGATTAATAAGACTGCCTGCCGTGGCATTTATCTGCTGGTCATTTCATATCTTTCAAGCATGACAGTTAGCAGCTTGGCTATGGAAGCCAGGAGGTGCCTAAAATCGGGGGCCTTGGAAACGGAACTGAAAAGTATATCTGCAGCTCATTTTCCGATGTACGTTCATCATGTTAATCTCTTCCTGTTTCAACGAGGCCGGGTAGAAGCCTTATTACGGCTAGGTACTTCACTCAACGCAAAGCCTGACCAAGTCGTGTAAACCGCTAGAAATGATGATTGCAAGAACGCAGTTTTAGCAGAGCCAACAGGATTTTGCCAACACCAATGCCTCGTACGGTCGATAGTCATAGGAACATGACGAAGCCTGGCTATTTCTTTTTCTCGGATCAGCCGTAAGATGCGTGGCTCGCCGGCCGACCCTTTGGCGGCTTTCCGGGTTCCGCAACAGTATCATCGTCGCCACCCAATGTCTTGAATTTTCTCCCAAGGGTTTCGCCACACTGCAGCTTGTCAGTGATTATCCTGGTGGTCAGCAAGGTATCTTGACGTACTTAGTCTCATATCTAGTGAGATGAGGAGCTTCAAAGTTGACGCTATGTCAGTGGGTTGATCCAGAAAGCCACCGCCCGAAAGAATGCGGGAGCGGGAAATCAGGCAATCAGGAAACTAAGGCAGTGTTAGCAAAGAATTCATAACAATACACATACATCAACTCACCTACATGCCTGCGCGTTAGGTCGAGATTCGCCGCTTACCAGTTCAATGTCATCCTACCCAGTAAAACTTTACCCAGCAGAACTTGGCCCTCTAAGTCACTGAGAACCCTTGATTCTGCCAAGAAGGCTTTCGTCTAGTTAACCACAAATCGTTGAACATCAGCGAGAAATTTTGCCAAGTACTTCTGATTTAAGGTTATGCAGGGCATTTCCACACGCTCACAGCCATTGAGATTATGATGATGATGATGTGAAGCCGGGACATCCTCATGCAAGGCACAAATCGCCCCCACCGGCAACCTCTGCCATCTGCCGTGTACACAGCTGGTAGGAGTCCTTCGTTCCGCTCCAAGATTATTCGGTGTCCAGTTCCTCAATGCGTAGTACATGAGGCTGGGGACTCTCTCTAGTGAGTGGACAGGATGATCTCGAAGGGTCTATCGAAATCTGCGTGCAGGCCTCAGGGCTGTCTTCTGGGACGGGCGTGCCCAAGTGTATCGCAGATCGGGGGACTATCACATACATATTGAGATACAATGCAAGCAGAGGATTTACTTATGCCCTATTCATTCCGAGGATTCTGTGGAATGCCGAGCTAAAGGAACAACGTGCCTACATCTTGCCCCGAGTCGATTTGCTTGCTTTGCCTTTCAAGAGAGGATTTATTATGTTAATGTTGTATAATATCAATGCGTGTCGAGTGCATGTTTTGTTCTTAATCTGTTGTGTGCTTGACATATCATGTTATTGAAATGTCATGTTGATGTAAGGTAATGTCAAGAGATTTCAAGGGCATGTCGTATTGAGGGCAGATCCTGTTACATGGCAGTTAATGCTCTCCTTCGCTATGTGTCAAGCAAATTCAGAGCCTTATTCATTGGCTTGCATTGATGAGCTGCATCTACTGAACTCCCAGGAGCTGACCATGACGATAGTGGACAAGATAACATGTGACATGGAAGCAAGCAACAGGCAGCATCCGCTTTTAGACGATGCATTTTCGCCTGAGGACAGCCAAACTCCAACTGCAAATCACAATGCCTATGAAAGAGGTTCTCTTGAGGACGTAATCAACGGAAAACCCCATCCGGAGCGGAACTCCTCAAGATGCTGAGTAACGACACTGCTCACACGTCAGACGGCTGAACTCATCGCCCCGCTCCGTCTCTTCCTGAGGGCTGTTGATGCCTTCGAGTCCAGGCATGTACTCACGATATTGATCTCTGACGGTGTAAAACTCCGGGCAAGGCACGTATTTGAAGAGGCAAAGACCCGAGACATCACACCGCATTTGTCGCCTCAAAGCCCAACAGAACCAGCATCATGGCTACTCCCGTAAACCCCCTTCCCGTGACCATGAGGGTCATCCACCAACCCAACCCTCACAGCACCAACCTCATCATGACCGAGGGTCCGATTCCCCGCCCTCAGGGTCCCTCCGATCTGCTCATCAAAGTCGTCGCGACCTCCCCTTGCCTGGGCGAGCTCCACTGGGTCGCCGCCATGCCCGATTTCTTCCCCGCCGACAAGGAGCCGGTGCCGGGCCAAGACGTCACCGGCACAGTCGTCGAGGCCGCCGCCGAATCGGGGTTCCGCCCCGGCGACGACGTCTTTGGACGCATCTCGGCCACGAGCCCCGGCGGCTGTCGCGAGTACGCCGTCGTGAAGAAAGAGGAGATGGCCTTGAAACCAGCCGGTCTGTCCTGGGTGGAAGCCGCCGCTACGCCGCTCTCAGCCCTCACAGCCTGGCAGGCCCTCTTCACACAGGGTCTTCTCGACAAGGCTGCCGTGTTCGGAGACGACGAGGCCAGGGCCCGGAACGGCGGCGTCGCAGTCTTTGTTGCCGGCGCCGGCACCAGCGTTGGCACGTGGGCGGTGCAGTTTGCCGCTCTTGCCGGCGCGCGAAAGGTTGTGGCGCTCTGCTCGGGGTCCAAGGCAGACTTGATGACGAGCTTCGGTGTGACAGACGTCGTAGATTATACCAAGACGCACGTCGAGGCCTGGGTTGGTGGATCCCCCGACAGGGAGGTTGACCTCGTTGTGGACTGCGTCGGCGGTGCCTCGATGGGTGGTCTCTGGAGCGTGGTCAAAAACGGCGGGACCTTCCTCAGCATCTGCGCCGACCCAGACAGCGTCAAGCCGGCTCAGAACAGCAAGACGCTGGAGAAGGCGGAGTGGTTCATCGTCGAGAGCTTGGGCGAGCAGCTGGGTGACATTGCCCAATTGGTGGAAGCAGGCAGGGCGAGGCCGGTGATTGACAGCGTTATCCCATTTGAACAATTTCAGGAGGCTTTTGATAAGGTCGAGAGCCGGAAGACAAAGGGTAAAGTGATTATCAGGGTTGCGTCCTGAGACTGACTTTTTGGACCGTGGATATCCCTTTCCATGTAACGGCTCTTCTGCAGGGTTTCAGGAGTAAAATATGAACCGACCATCATTGTGTGACCAAACCTTCAGAATGTTGACCATGTTTAGTAATGGTGCCCTGCGTATGGGCGGGCAGCGTGTCCATTGGTACTCGACCCAAATGTCTGGTCAATGGCCCTAGACCAGCACCGCCACGGGGAAGCATTCCAAAGGGGCACAACACCTTTGAACCATAGAATGCGGATCATTTGTTTGATCCAGTGCCACGGTCTCACCCTCGGTTCAAGACAGGGGATCCAGATTGCGTAAAACCCTTGGTCACTCAATTTAGGGTTCACAGACACGCCCGCTTGGACAACACACCGAGCTCAACAAGTAGCACACATGACCAGACATGGCCAGCACCCGGATCCAGAACGGCTTGCCAGCTGAACCTCTGAATCTGAGTATTCGCACATCAGTGAACCGCCGAGAATGGTATCATGCCAGAGATTACAGTGTATTCGACAGGGTACCCCGGCCCCATGCTGTACATCTATCCGCCCTCAAATCCCCCCTGGGTCGACTTATCTCCCTCCATCTTCTCGCTCGGTGAGACGACCTCATGCAGCGGCGCCGTCTCCAAGCTCGCCAGCACATTAACCCCCTGCCGCGCCATGACGCTCCCACGCTTGGCCCGCATGGTCCCTTGCTGCTGCAGCGGCTCGCTCTCCTCATCCACCAGGACCTCGACCTCGTCCTCCGGCGCCTGTCCATGCGGCCCAGCGGGGTCGGCAGGCTCCAACCTAGTGTCGAGCTGCCTCTGCAGTCCCAGGACGAATTCCTGCGCGAGCGCAAACTTGCTGACGCCATTCTGGTTCGGCACTTCAGAGTACAGCCGTTGCGCCTCGTTGAGGCTGCGCTGGGCCTGAATGTATTTGCCCTGCAAGAGCCACGCCTCGGCGGCGAGGACGGCCCAGATGGCCGCCTTGCGCGTGCGGTTGCCCCACCCCACGGGGCCGAGGCCCGTCTTGGACGCGTAGCATATGGCCAGTCGCTCCTTGAGGAGACCATCGCCAATGGGTCCCGAGATGCCCGAGTCGAGGAGCTTGGCGCCCCATTTCGCCGCCTCGTCTATGCTGCTGCCGCCCCGGAGACGAAGAAGCTCGAGCGCGAGGGTGAGGGACCGGAGAGCGCCAAAGGGCGCGCTGCATCGCGTCGAGTAGGAGTAGAAGGCGGCCTCGAGCATCTGGTCGAGAGTCTCGGCGCGCGATTTGGTCGACATGCTCTGAGGCATGATCAGAAGACTGAGGGCCGCCATCTCGTTTGTCGCGGCGTGGTACTTCCACGCCTTGGCGTCGCTAAAGTCGGACCGCAGAAGGTCATAGGTCGAGTGCGCCAGCTTCCAGTCGCGCAGCATGAAGGCATAGTCCGCCAGCTTGCGCATGATGGCTTCGGGTGCATCAGGTCGGTAGTAGCCCTGCGACTCGAAGCTGCTCGTACTACCGCTCCCACCTACTGACGTCCTTGAGCTGCCGCCGAAGCCTCCCCACTTCCGAGACAGGTTCATGAAGCGTCCTGCGATGCCGCGCCGCCTTGACGCTACCTGGTCGTTCCAGACTGATACGTGACGCTCCATCGTGGGGATGATGGACTGTGTGACCATTTCACGAACAAATGTCCGGATCGCAGTAGCATCCGACTCAAAGATGTGCCTCGTCGGGTCCTCAAAGTCTTCTTGCTCGTCGCTCCTCTTGATGTCTGCCAGTTCCTCCTCGGCGGTCATCCAGTCGCTCCTCGGCAGCGGTATGCTGTCGTCGTCTGTCTCTGCACTCTGACTGCTTCGGAGCCGCAACAGGTGGCAGTGCAGACCAAGGTGGCGCTTCATCTGATCGAATAACGCCATCGATCTTGTGATATCGTCGTTCTCCTCGTCGTGAACCAGTACATAGTACCGAAGGTAGTCACCATCGACCCAGCCCGGCAGCTGCTTGCCACCGCCGCGCGTCTCATTATAAAGTGTCCTTAGCTCCTCGATCGGGGACTTGCTGCGCGAGCTGATAGCGATGACGCAAGCAATGGGATGCGAGAAGGTTTCGTGCGGCGAGATGGGGATGCCGGACAGTAACCTCCTCAGATAAAGCGAGTAGTAAGGCGACGTCGCTTCAATGTCGAGCCCTTGCCTCGTCAGGTGTCCGTGATGGGGCAGGCTCAGGAGCGAGTCCTCGGCGTAGCGCAGGTGGCGCTCGACAACGGCCTCGACATCGTCCAGCTTCTTCTTCTCTCTGGCCGCACTCTCGGAAAGCCCATTCGCGGTCGTCGGCGCAGTCGCATCCGGGGCCTCAATGTTGTCGCCGAACGGCACGAAGCGAATCGAGTAGTCCTCCCACGCGCGGCTCGAGCCGTTGCTGTCCCTGATGGTGATCTTACCTTGCACCCTCTCGCCAAAGGGTCGCAAGAGCTCCCATAGTCCGTTTTTGAATCCCTTCTCGTTCGCAAAGTTGGTCGTCTCTTGCGAGGTATAGATGGCGATGTGGGGCACGTAGGACTGGAGCAACAGGTTCAACGGATCACCCGGGCTGTCTGCCGCGCTGTCAATGAGCGACCTGGCCCCGGATCCGCTGAAGACGGGACCCGAGAGGTTCCTGGCTGGCGAGCCTCCCCGTCCGACGGGCGACTCGGATCGCGACCCTGGTGGCGTCTGTGTCGAGGCGAAGAGCGAGGCAGCCGATGGGTTGGATCTCCGATACGGCAGACCCGTTTCATTCTGTGCGAGCGGGTGTCCATCAAAGGCGTTCTGCCGCTTAGGTAGCCTCAGAGCGGAGGCCGCTGTTGGCAGGGTCTGGATCGATTCGGAGGGCGAGACATCTCGGTTTGGTGATTGCAGGTCCGGGGACTGCATCGAGGGAATCGGAGGTTGGCGAGGTGGCCCAACCTATGGCCTACGCTGGCTCGTTGCCAGAAGAAAGGAATGTAATATCCAGGTCAAGTGGTAGTGTTGAATAGATCGTGGGATCTGGCCTCGCTCAAGCCATGGGATGGAAAGAAAGGTTGATGCTGAACAGTCGATGGACGCGATGGTATATCGGAAAGTGGGCTCCGGAATTACTCGAACAAATACAATTAAAGACGCTCGCTAGAGGGGTCGTCGAATCGAAAGGCCGTCTTGAACAACCGCTTCATCATCAGTGGTCTGGTGAATGCGAGGCCAGCCAAGTCATTGAACATGTGGATTGCTTGGGCGCCATCACCACTACGGAATCGCTTAACTGCCTGCCTTGCGTAGCGCCCCGATAAATGCAAAACGTGGGGGCTTTCCGTCCCTGCATTTCATCACTGCAGTGCTTCTACGAGGTACTCCAAGCTCAAGCTTCGAAGATCGATCCTCGACAGCAAAGTCTCCATTTGCAAGCAACGGTTCAGCGCTTTCGAACCCGAACCGCCCCAGAAAGCATACCATCACCATGCCGTCCGACCTATCCAGCTACCTCGCAAAAAACTACCTAGTAGCCGACCCAAAGCCAACCAAGAAGCGCAAGCGCAAGCAAGCAGCCGAAGGCCTCATCATAGCCGACGACGACGACGCCTCCTGGGCCAAGCCACAAGCCTCAGCCAACGACGATGTGGACGGTCCAGCAACAGTAGACGGCTCCTCCGCCGAGTTTCGCCGCACAAAAAAGTCCAACTGGAAATCCATCACCGGCGCGCCCACCAGCACACCAGCCAACGCAGACACCGACGCCGACGCCGACGCCGCGGCAGCAGACGCGATCCTCGCCTCGGCCGCCGCCGAGACGCTCGCAGCGCAGCGCGACGACGACGCGCTCCCGACATTCGACGACGCGGGGCGTCGCCAAGATGAGCGACGGCACGCTCGCGGGGCTGCAGTCGGCGGCGACGGTGAGCGCGCAGCTGCGCAGGCGGCAGGCTGCCGAGCAGGCCGAGTTTGCGCGCATGAAGGCCGGCGGGCGCGAGGAGGAGACGGTGTACCGCGACGCGACGGGGCGGCGGGTTGACGTGTCGATGAGGCGGGCCGAGGCGCGGCGGGCGGCGGCCGAGGCCGAGGAGCGCGAGAAGGAGCGGCAGGCTAAGATTGCGCCAAAGGGCGACGTGCAGGCTGCGGCGGCCAATGCGCGGCGCGAGGCGCTCGAAGAGGCCAAGACTATGGCGTTTGCGCGAGGCGCCGATGACGAGGACATGAACCGCGAGATGAAGGGGAAAGAGAGGTGGAACGATCCCATGGCGCAGTTTATGCAGACGGATACGGCGACGACGACGACGGGCGGCAAGGGGAAGAAGGGGAAGAATAGACCCGTCTATACCGGTGGCGCACCGCCCAATCGGTACGGCATCAGGCCTGGCTATAGGTGGGATGGTGTGGACAGGAGTAATGGGTTTGAGGGCGAACGGTTCAAGGCGATCAACCGACGAGAAAGGAACAAAGGGCTGGACTACTCGTGGCAGATGGATGAGTAAGGACGGTTGGAGTTGTTCTCATAATACCCATTTATGTTACGCTACGCAGCTTTCTGATGCAATATTAGCAGCTTGTGCTGTGTTCTAGTGCCCATCGTCTTTGCTGAATAGGCCTTCTTGGTATCTACCTTTGGGTACCTGAGGGAAGCAAGTGATACATAAAAACAACCAAGGCGCCAGAGATCGTTCCCGTGTGAACAAACCTCACTAGTCTCGCTTCGGAGCGGCTCCTTCTTTGGGGCGCAGCAGCTTGTCCCTGCCGAATACAGCCACATCCTTCACGATGTTGATCCATCCAGCTTTAGATGTTTGGCCCGGTCCATCACCAATACGTTCGTTGAAGCGTCTGTTGAGTTCTTTTGACGATATGCCCTGCGGTGGCAGCGCCGCGAAGACCTCCCAGGGTTCAATGGGCCCGGATCGGGAGGGTGAGCTGGCACGCGGATTCGGGCTCGTCGGGGATGCACCTGGGATGTCTTGTCAGCTTGGTCCATGTTTTCTTCAAGAGGTCTGAACGTACTGCCTGCTGCGCCTGCAGGGGCTGGGCTGCCAGCACGCGAGCCTGTGGGCGTGCCCCTGGCGCCCGTACCAAGAAGCTTGATCTTCTTCTTCCTCTGTTGGCCATCGGACATCTCTCCACCGGTGGCTTCGCCGTCGCTCATCGAGCTCATTCCAACCTTGTGTTTGTGGCCCGACGGCAGAGGTGTTCCTGAGCGGCTCACCTGGACAGAGCTCCCGTTCTTCTTGAGCTTCTTCTTCCTCAGCGTCGACTCTGTTTCACTAGATTCCGACAGGTTCGGTGAGCCAGGACGCTTCAGTGACTTGCCCTTTCGGGTAGCATCGGCTTCCTTCTGCTTGCCAGAAGGCGTCAGGGTGCCCTTGGAGTTTGCGTCCTTGTCCTTGGCACCGTTGGCGTCCTGACTCTGCGCGGAAGGATCCTGGCTAGAGGCCTTGTCTTCGTCCTTCTTATTGGCCTCATCCTCTCCGTCCTTGCTCTCGTCATCCGAATCCTCTTCATCCTGGAAAGCCTGTCAATATGCTGGTCATCAAATGTTGAGGACCTAGTCTTACCGAGGGGCCGAAGTAACGATTGCCGTCTTCATCGTCCGAATCCTTCTTGTAGATGGTTTCCTTTTCTCGCTTGACCAATGCTTTGTTGATGGTCTTGCCTTCCCTCTTCCTGCTCTCCTCGAGAAGCCTCGTCTCGAGCTCTTCCTGGTCTACCTTACCCTCGTCGCCCTCTCCGAAGACGTTGGCGCCGAGCTGCTCGCGCTTGATGCGCTCTGCCGACTCCTTCTGGTCTTCGTCATTGTCGGGCTCAAAGTTGGGCGCCTCGTCGTCGTCTTGGAACTCATCGCCTTCGAAATCAATCTCGTCATGGTCCATCTTTTCCGACTTGGATACGCCCCTGAAGGTCGAGCTCTCCGTCTTGATGCGCGACGGTCCGTTCTTGAACCTTCTCCAATCCTCGAGGTCTTTCTGTCCTGCCTTCTTCTCTTGCGCCTGCATGTGCCACCGAGACACGCCTGACTGCTGCTTCATCAAGGCCTCGGCCTCTTCGATTCTCATCGTGGTGAAGTTCGGCTTGGGCTGGAACTTGTACCATTTCTCAAGCGGGGTCATGGCAAACTTGCCGTCTGTTGTGGGCACGAGACAAACTGTTGTCTCCGACAGAGGGGCGACGTACGAACCAACCCACACGTGCTTTCCGTCGGCGTCCTCAATGTGCCAGGGCAGCGCCTCCTCATAGCGCAACGATTGCTGCTTGCGTTCCTTCTCCGAACGAGGTGCGCGGTGAAACTGCACACCACGGTCCTCCTGCTTCGGCTGCTTGGTACGCGTACTGGCGTTGGGGTCCTTGATCGCCGGCGCACTCTTGGCAGCCTCCATGGCCTTCCAGGCATCCTTCTCGGCCTTGAGCTGCGCAATCCTCTCAGCCTCTTTCTCGTCCTCTGGGTTGGGCTCAGGTTCGGGCTCTTCCTCCTCGGGCTTCACCTCGCGTCCGGCAGCGGGCTGTCTTGGGTCGCGACGCTGCAGGGTCACGGGTCGCGTGAAATCGTTCTGGTCCGTGGGATCAATGTGTAGCTTCTCCTTTTCGATGCGGGACGACGAGAACCTCATGACGTGGTGACGGGTACCTTCCATCAGGGCACGCTTGGTCGTGACAATCTTCCACTCGCGACCGCCTGGCGGCAGCGGCTCGGTCCAACCCCCGTTCGCGGCCGTTTTGCTTCGGTTGTTTGCGATGCGAGACAGTAGGCCGGCGGTGTGAACCTCGGGTCGCAGCGCCGCAGAGGGGGGTGTCGCGCGACTCGAGGAAGCGGCGCCGGCAGCTTTCGGCCGCGGAGCATTGGACTTGGGCTGCGGTCGTCTACGCGCAACGAGAGGGTCGCCCTTGGCTCGTCGCTTGATGGGGGCCGGTCGCGGCTGCTGCCCCGTCGGGTTGGGCTTCTGGTCCTGGGCCTGGCCATTGGGCAGACCAGAGGGTGGCGCGCTCATTTTGGCGAGTGCGTGGGCTTTGAGCTGTATATCAAGTAACGCAAAGTATATTTGAAGCTTCGAGATGCACGAGGGGACAGGTTGTCGGCATCAACACACGGGCGAGTGCTTGAAGTTGTTGGTTTCGACAAGATCTCTGGGAGGCGTCGCGTGTGGTCTGGCGCTGAGCAGCGTCGGCGTCGCTCGAGCCGGGGACCTGGGTTACTAAATCAAGATAGAAAGAGCGACAAACAATGCCGTTTCCAGTCCCTTTGATAAACAAGTCGTCAAAGGATAGGTGGATGAAATGAGGGTGGAGGGACAAAGACGCTGATGGCGAGATTGAAAGCAGCTGTCTGTCGTTGACCTGGAGGGGAGGTGATCCTGCCTTGTCGGTACCTCTCAGCCTGGGGAGTGGCCTGTGCTTGTGCTGCCTGAGCAAAAGAAGGTCAGTTGGGTGGAGGCCGAGGTGGAGACCTCTGGTCGTGGTGTGAGGATGCAAGTGCACTGTGCAGAGCCCCCAAATGTTGACTACAATGTGTACCTACGGCCTGGAATCCAATCACAGCTTGCTGGCTTGAAGCTCCCTTGTAAGGTGTTGCGTCATAAGGCTGCTACCGTTGTATCACTGATGCTACTCATAGTCACCTCGAGGCAAGTTAGTAGGGTAGTTCCCCATACTTTCCTTTCGAAAAATGGAGAGAAACTTCAACGCGCAAGGTCAATTGCCCTTAATTGTCGAATTGGCCTTGAGAGTCTTTGAGACGGTTGATTCAATGCATCAACCCCTAGGTACGAGTTCCGGGTCGGTACCTCAAGGCTCGAGAAGCTCTCTCCTCTCACATGCGGGGGTAAAAGCTCCAATACCTACGCCAAAATTGCTCCCGCACTGTATTTACGCCCTGTAGCAGCGAGCCCCCTCCATTCTTGCCCATTGACAGGAGAGCCGGCAAGGCTGTGAAGCCGTGGGTTCCACACTGTATTTCACATCTAACCCCATTTTGTGCCTTCCCTGATTGCTTAACCTGTTCGTGTACGACTCGTCTCACAAGCAAAACAACCTAACTACGGCCCATCATCAGGTCGTGATTTTTTTCCAGATTATACTTACCCGGCTACTGAGCATCGTTGGAATCCATCGTCTTCGTCAGCCCTCCTTCATTACCGAGCGATCAAGGGAACGGCACCCATGTCTCGCGCAACCATTCGACCCACTCTACAGAAACAGACAAAAAGGGCGCTCGCGAGCCACTTCCTGATCACCATCGAATCCCGAAGATCCTTCACCAAGGCCATCATTCCCTTCCCTATGCGTCTGATTCTTGGATGATTGCTTCACCAAGGGGAACCGTGCTCACCAGTATCAGTCTATCGATCCTTGACCTGAGTCTGCACAGACTCTCCTATAACAAGCTCCCTTCTCACTGGATCGGCTGACCTCAAGCATTGATCAACGGACCCCCCAACCGGCCATGGCTCATTATCAACCTTCGAGCCAGGGTCAAGATCCCGAACTCGAGAGCAGACTGAGAGGGTTAATCCTGACGAACACGCCTGGAAGCAATGGCAACAGCATCTCTCACAGGGACCTTCTCGAAGGCTCAACAGATGATGCTCCTGCTCCTTCTTCCCTGCAGTCGCCCACCTCCCCCAAGATGGCGAGGAAGCGGCCGAACCAGGCTCAGCGTCGCCAAATGAATGCCCAGGTGACTATTCCTGTCGACACGAGGCCCACTGCGCCGGTGCCTCCTCGTAATTATGGTCAGAATCAAGGGTACGCTGCCCACCATAATGAACAGGGCTATCGTCAGGGGCCACCACGCCAGCCATACACGCAACGCCCTGGTGCCAGTGCTGGCCAGTGGGCAGGGCCACAACACCATCATCAAAATCAGCACCAGCATCAGCACGGCCAGGGACAGGGTCACTTCCAGGGACGAGGACAGCGATATGGAGCCCATCACTACCAGTCACACTCCTACCAGGACCACAGCCCCTCCGGCCCGAGTGCCCCTCCCGGCTTCCGCCAAGACGGCAATGTACCGCGTGGCGCCCAACGCTCTCATGGACTGTACAACCCCCACGGAAACCACCACGCCGCACCTCTGTCAGCTGAAGAGCTCGCGCTGCAGTCGGCTTATCTCGATGGCCTGAGCGAGACGCTGGTCGCGGGCGCAGAGATCGAGCGGGACGACATCATGGAGAAAGAGTCGTTCCGCATCAGCATACAAGAGATCTGTCGGCAGGTTATTGTGCAGCACGAAGAGCAGACGAATGGCAGAACGGGGTTTCCAGCCTCCTCTATAGGATTGGAATGCTTCGGCAGCCTTTCCTCAGGCTTCGCCACGAAAGCGTCAGATATGGACCTCGGTCTCATCTCGCCACTCTCTGTGCCCCAGCCTGACGGCGCGGACTCGGTGATCCCTCGCCTCATTGAAAAGGCTTTCCTCGATGCCGGCCTGGGAGCGCGTCTCCTCACCCGAACACGAGTTCCTATCATCAAACTCTGCAGCAAGCCCTCAGAATCACTTCTCTCAGGTCTACTAGAGGAACGAGACAAGTGGGAAAGGGGCATCGACAACGACACTTTCGGAGCAGTCGAGGGCGAGGATGGTGATGAACCGGTTCAGGACCAAGATGAAGAGCAGCAGCCCAAGACTCCCACGGTTGCTGCCCAGTCACAGCTTTCTGCGTCAACAGGCGACCCAAATGCCGCCCTGAAGCCCTCCGTGGACCAGCCACAGAGCTTGAAGCTCCGTCAGACTGAGAAGCAGAATCTCACCTCTTACTATAACAATGCCAAGCGTGCGTTGAGACGCCTCAATGGACGTGACATTACCCTGTCAAACTATACCACTTTTTCAAGAGAAGACTTTGAGATCCTGACGCGGGTCTGCGAGGCCTTTGTCGAAGGCCTCTTCGATCAGACACTCAAGGCCAGGCTCCAGGGCTACCAATCGCTCACTTTCGGTCCCCACAACGACAACGAGTGCTCACACTCGCTGCTGGGTGTCTTCACGCAAGTGGAAGGTGAGATGCTTGCCATGGGTTGGGAGCATCGTACGACACAGGAGAAGTCTGCCGATGCCGAAAAGGCTGCGGAGGTGTGTGTGCTCGGCTGGAAGAAGTTGCAGAATCAGCCGGTGGCTGGAGGTGATCCCCTCCAGCATGCCAAGCATCTACAGCTGTATCTGCATAGACTCAAGAAGCTCAACTCGATCCAGCTCGTCACACTGCAGCAGACCCAATTCGAATCAGCGAGTGATTACCACGAACGCGTCACGAAGCTCATCGTAAACTTGCGCCCTGCAGCCTTGCTTGCCGAGAAGGGCGAGGATTTATTCCAAGAGCTCGTCATCAAGCACTACGTCGAAGGCATTTGGTCTTTTGAAGTACAAAAGCAAGTTGGCGAATTTGTCGCTGCTACATCAGGCCCCATCAGCCTTGGAACCGTGGCACGTCGCCACAAAAGCCTGCAACTGGCGTTTGAGTTTGAGCGGGCCCTTGAGCATCACGCATACGACAGCCATCTTGAGCCTGTTATCAAGCAATACGTTGCACTACTCCGCGGCGGCACGAGCCAGCCTGGCGACACGAGCACGCTTGCCCTAGCGGCGCCCGAGTCTCAGCAGGTCCTCCAGGTCATCCTCTCACTATCTGACCCTTCGAAGCTGACAGCCAACCAACCCCGCGACCGGTACCGTGATAACCTCGAGTTCCCCAAGTCGGGCGTCGGCGTCCAGTGCGACATCAACTTTGCCGCCCACCTCGCGCTCCAGAACACGCTCCTGCTCCGCTGCTACTCTCACACGGACCCGCGTGTGCGCACGCTCGTGCTCTTCGTCAAGCACTGGGCCAAGTCTCGCGCCATCAACACCCCCTACCGCGGCACCCTCAGCAGCTACGGGTACGTGCTCATGATGCTGCACTACCTCGTCAACGTCGTCGAGCCCTTTGTCTGCCCAAACCTGCAGCACCTCGGCCCGCCGCCGCCGCCGCAGGATCCGTCCACTTACCCGGACGCCGACGGCCTCATCTGCCGCGGCCGCTTCGTGGGCTTCTGGCGCGACGAGGCCGAGATCCAGCGCCTCGCGCGCGCGCGCCAGCTCAACGGCAACGACCACTCGGTCGGCCGCCTGCTGCGCGGCTTCTTCGAGTACTACGCCCACACGGGCACCCTGTCGACCAACCCCAAGGCACGCGGCTTCGACTGGGGCCGCGACGTCCTGAGCCTGCGCACCCCGCGCGGCCTGCTCAGCAAACAGACCAAGGGCTGGACGGGCGCCAAGACGGTGCTCGAGAACGTGCAGTCCGCGGCCGGCGCGCCCTCTGCCGCGCACGCCAACGCCAGCGCCGCCGAGGCCAAGCCCGTCGAGGTCAAGGAGGTCCGCCACCGCTATCTGTTTGCCATTGAGGATCCCTTTGAGCTGGACCACAACGTCGCGCGGACGGTGACGCACAATGGAATCGTCGCGATCCGGGACGAATTCCGGCGAGCGTGGCGGCTCATTCGCGCTGCCGGCAAGGGGAACGTCGGCGGTGGTGCTGCTGCTGGGGAAGCGGAGAGCGAGGAGCTCCTTCAGGATGTTAAGACTGTTCGGAAGGAGAGCGACGCCGGCGAGTTCCGCAGGTTGCTGGCCGAGATACACGGCGTGGAGAGGGCGGAGCTGGAGACGTTGGCCGCGGCCAACTCGTCGTGATCACGATCATTGTGGCATGTAGGCCGTGTGGGTTACCAGGATCAATTTGTCACATACGGGACGGCGGGCATATTGTGTTGAAAGTCACGGTTGTATTATGGCTTTGAGTGATCAACTTGGAAGATAAGTGTCCTGGCTAAACTCAATCAAGTCATGTTCCCCTCGCAGCTCATCATGCAGCTTGTTCGAAAAGTCAAGTCAAAATGTCAAGAACACAACAAGTCACGTCACGCAGATATGCAAGCAATGTCCGAACTACTCTCGCCCCCCCCGCCCATCGACCAAACAGCGTAATAAAGCCGACGTGCAAAAAGGGGGGCCCTCGAGGTCGAAGAGTTGATCTTCCAACGTTCCGTTCAGGACCCGTTCTGCATGAACTGGGCCCCGGCTCTCCGAAGAAAGCAACCGCTGGGTGTGGCATGCGCCAAGGTGGGAAAGTACGCAAAGAAGACACTCTGCAACGGCAGAGAGAAAAAGAAAGAAAGAGGGAAGGATGGAGACGAGGCATCACACATCCCGTGCAATGAAAAAAGCAGATGGTATCATCATTGCTCTAGAGCTCTGCCTTTTTTGTCTGTCTCGTCGTAAAACGCACGACAGAAAAAAGGGGGCCCAAAATCATGCCGTTGCCGTACGCCTCGCTAGATGCCGCCTAGAAAATTCAAGTCAAACGAACCCCGTATTCCAGTCATACCTGTCAAGACTTTCTTCGAGCTCCTCGCGCAAGCAAACAAGCTCCTCAGTTCAGGATGTGCTGGTAGAGGGGCGAGATGGATTCGCCATAGTGGTTGCGGCGGATGGCCTCGGCGAGGAGGAAAGACAGGTCGAGGACGACAAGCTTGCTGATGTTCTTGACGCGTTCCTCCTGGATGGGGAAGCTGTTGGTCACAACTATCGTGTCGATGCACTCGCATGCCTGCATCTGCTCGAGGCAGTCACCGCCAAAGACACCATGGGTGGCGATGCAGTACACCTTCTTGGCGTGGCCCTTCTTGACGACCGTCTCGGCGGCAGCGATCCACGAGCCGGGCTTGTCGATCATGTCATCAACGATGAAGACGGTGCGGTTCCTAACGTCGCCGACAAGCGTGATCATGTGCTCGACCTTGGGGTCCTTGAGAGTGTCTTCCTCCTCGTCCGATTCGGCCTCGGCGTCGCCAGAACCACCCAGCGCATGAGGCGCGGGCTCGGCGTGGTTGGGAGGATGGGCGAAGAAGGACGAGGCATGCGACATGGTCATGGGATCGGGCTCCTCGCGGGAGCTGCCACCAGCGGTCGACGTTGCGGGCGATGGATAGTCGTCATCAACAATGTGACCCTGGACGAGGCGACCCTGCGTTACTTCATATGCTGGGCCGTCATCGTACTGCGCATCGCTCTCGTCTTCGTCCTGCTGCTGGCCAGATGAGTTCTTCGTGGGCGTGGAAGGACGAACCGCGCGGTTGACGTCCACGGTGCGGAGCGGCGGGCCGTTCGAGCGCTGCGGCGAGCCTTGTGTGTTTGCGCGGACTCGGTTTCGTCTGACGTTTTGAGGTTCAGACGTGGCTGGCTCCTCGAGAACGTCAGTCTTGGCCTCGGCAGGCTTACTTGTCGCAGAAGACTCGAGCACAGGCTCGCGGTTGAAGCTGTGGAGGTGACCCATGATGACACTAGCCGACATGTTGGCGCCCCGGTGCTTCTTCTTCTCGGTCGTGACCATGCCGAAGTTGAGCTTCAAGGCGTCAGCGAGCGATGTCACTCGCTTCGTTCCACCGGCGTTCTTCGACACGACAACGGCCTCCTTCCAATTGGCGACGTTGTGACGGATCCAGCGAGCAATGAGGGGCTCGGCATGCAGATTGTCGACGGGGCACTTGAAGAAGCCCTGCATCTGGGTGGCGTGCAGATCGACGGTGATGACATGCTTGATACCAGCCATGGTCAACAGATTGGCGAGCATGCGCGCCGTAATGGCACCGCGGTGGGACTTCTTTTTCGACTGGCGACTGTAAGGGAAGTAGGGAAGAACAGCTAGCGAGGGAGGGTCAACGGCCTGGATCGCCAACGAGTCAGAACCGGGTCAAGGAGGAAGAGCCTACCTGTGACCTTGTTCGCCGAGCCGCCCTTGCATGCAGAGATCATGATGAGCAGCTCCATGATGGTATCGTTGACCTTGGGACTGCCAGACTGAACGATGAAGACGTCCTTCTCTCGCACGCTGGTGAGGATGCGTACGCTGGTCTCGCCCTTGGTGGATGGTTAGTCTCAAACGAGAAGCCGTGACAACTCGGAAAAGCAGACTCAAACGGACGAGCGTTCGAGGAGATTGCCCTGGCGCAGAAGAGGCAGAGCAGGGCAGGGCAGTCAGGTGAAGGCCCAGCCCAGGCCAACCCAAGCCAGCCCGCTCACGCTCCGGCTCAACTTTGACTCAGGAACGGCCAGCTTACATTGGAAAATTGGGTGAGCTCCGCCTCGGCGGGCTGCATGCCCAGGTTCTCGCAAATCTGACCCGTGAGCGCAGGGCAGGAGCTGCCCGCGAAGATCAACGTGCTACGCATCGTGAATTGAGTTTGGGCGTGGTTGCGATGGCGGAGGGCCTGGAGGAGGGTGAAGGAGGGGAGCTCCGAAGCGAGGACGGACGAAAACAAATTTTGAGAGCTGCGACGAGAAGAGAAGAGAAGGAAGGGTCCGGGTGGGGAGGCCGTGTCCGGGAAGGACAGAGCAGACTGTGCTACTGCTTCTGACGTCAGGAGGGGTGGGGAGCCGTGGTTGACGCGCACTGTGGTATTTATGAGGGCCTCTTCCTCGATTACATGCATCAGGCTTCACTCTATAGATGCTTCACTCTATAGATACATATCCCTATGCAGCAAATCAAACTCAATCTGCATCAAGACACCATAGACCACCATCTCTGCCTCTCATCATGAGAATAACCACTGCATTGCTGTCATGTCTGGAGCATTCAGTTTCTGCCTAGATCACATGGAAGTAATTTTCTGATGATCCACCCCCACATCTCCTCGTCATCACGCGTGAGATGGGAATCCCCCACCTCTTCACCCATCTCGGCCCATATGGTGTTGACACTCTTCTCACCGGCATCAAGATCATCATTGATGGTCCCTCCTTCGCCTATCACATCCATAGTCTGTGCTCAAGCAACAGAGCCGGCCAGGTTTCTCACAAGCTCCTCTGCGATGCCGCGATAAGCTGGCTGGATGCCCTGTCCAAGGGCTCCAAAATGTAAGCCCCTTTTCTTTTTTTCTTTTCCTATATCTTCGCCCTTCGTAACTCATACACGCTCCGTGATCCTGTGCTGACTCGTTCAGAACGGCCATCTACTTTGACGGCTACCTTCCCGCCTCCAAACACCCCGTCCGCCTCGATCGCCTTCTCAAGTCCTCAACCCGCCTACAGAACCTCCACAGCAGCAACCCCAAAGCCTGCCCCTCTCACCTGCTGTCCGAGTCAAACGAGCTCATCCCGGCACCCTTTCCCACAACCTACGCCCGTCGCGAACCGCCTCACCACCCTCCTTTCCTCGTCCCCGCCATCCTCGAACGCCTGCGCCTCTCGGAAAAGTACGCACCGCTCATCCGCCTCGTGCCTGGCGAAGCAGACGCCTACTGCGCCGACCACGCCCTCCACCACGGCGGCTGCGTCCTGACCTCCGACTCGGACCTCCTCGTCCACGATCTCGGTCCCCGCGGCGCCGTCATCCTCTTCCACGACCTGCGCACCGGCACCCTCGACGGCCATCGCGGCCTCATCGCCGCCCGCTACAGCCCTGCCTCCATCGCCGAACGCCTGCGCCTACCCCCCACCTCGGCAGGCATCCAGCGTTTCGCCCACGAGCTGAGCCGCGACCCCTACAAGTCCCTGCCCCAGCTCCTCCAGGCCGCGCAGCAGCGGGCCGCGGCCGAGGGCGACGACGCGGCCGAGGACGCCGCCTACGAGACCTTCCTGCGGCCGTACCGCGCCCACGACGCAGAGACGACCGCCGCCGCCGCAACCTTCGCGGCCCTCGCCACGCCTCTCGACCCTCGCGTCTCAGAGCTCGTCCTTCAATCGCCAGCACTGCGCTCCCGCCTCGGCATCCCCGAAGACGAAGACGAAGACGAAGAAGGCCCCCGCGCGCCGCACAGCGAGCCGCTCATCTTCCTGCCCCTCCTCATGGACTGTCCCGCGCGCCCGAGCGCCTGGGAAGCGAGCCTCGACGTGCGACGCCTAGGCTACGCCCTGCTGCGCGCGGCGCATCCCTTCGCCGCCGCCTCGGGTCAGGGAGTTCCGCCGCGTGCAGTCGGGCCTCGAACGCCGGCAGGCAGATCCCGGCCGTGTGCCGACCCCGCCGTCCCGCGCCGGGCGCTTGCTCAGCCAGCTGCAGCATGCGGGGGCGCTTTCGGAGGGGAGCAGAAGAAGCAGAGGAAGACCGGGCGGCACGCGGGGCGGGGCTGCTGGCGCTGACGCTGCGGCTCGACGGCGCGGCCGCGGCCGAGGCGGGGCGCGACGCGCAGGCCGTGCCGGCGGTCAGGGAGTTCTTCGCGGCGCGGGCCGAGGGGGAGACGCTTTGGTCGACGATCCATCTCGCGGCGCAGGTGCAGGCTTGCTACTACTCCCTGCGGATCCTGTCGCAGGTCCTGTCGCTGCTGGACGCTGTGGCGGGCGACGGGGCGATTTCGGGGGCTGTGCTCGCCGGGTTGAAGACGGAGCTTGCGAAGCTGCCGGCGTTGGAGGCGTACCCGGCTGTGAAAGACGTCACGGCTCTGCTGGAGGAGATGCGCGCCAGGGGCCAGATAAGGCGCTTGGCGGAGTTTGTGGGC